ATTTCTGTAAGGACATAAATAAGAATCAGGGAATGTCATTGAATGTCATCCTCGACATCGATGATGATTCGGTGCTTCATCATGTTACCCAAAACAAAGGCAAAGTCTGAATTGAAGTTGCCATCGGAGATATGTAAAAAACCTTAGGGGAAAGACGATGCCAAGGATCATGAATAATTCTGAGCCCAGGACAAGCTGCAGCAGTAGCAGCTTTCCGGAACTACCCTTGGTCCTTGGTCCCAATTATTGGAGTTGAAATTTTCCTATAATTTCAAGCGAAATTGTGAGCGGATTTTAAGAGATTCTAAGCTGCTGATAAGGATAAGGGACAAAATTAATTAAGGCCAAACACAGAGGGTGAGTTCCTGCCTTTGTATTTCACAGTTCCAAAAAGGGTGCGAAGGGGAGGATGACTTTTCCAAAAATTTGCAGAAATTATTGAAAAAAATTATGATTACATTTAAAGGAAATGACATACAAATATAAAAGCATCTCTAATCCGGAGTTAATTTAAAATATATCTTGTATATTCTCTACCCAAACTAATTCCATTAAATGATCTAGTCCGTGGAAAGCATAAACTATCTTTTACCCCAAATTCAGTTTCCTTTTCCTATTAATCAATGCCCTAAAATCTGTAAAATCAGAAAACCCACAAGAACAAACCCCAAAAAGGTAGAGATCTCAGTTAAAGAAACAAACACATGCCAACATGTTTGTAGGTCCCAAAAACTTTACGACTTCATTAGACATTTCACTTTTCATTATTTTCTCAAACAATTTACCAAGTACTCTCCAAAATTCCCTTTCCTTTTTCTCTCTTTTTTTTAATATTTTCCGGCTGCCCCAATAAAATTGTTGTTTGCCAGGTTCAACTCTTCTGCACTCGCTTGCCTTTATTTTATGATCTTTGCCTACATTGACTTAAGTAATTCTCGGCAACGAATTTTCTTTTACGACGTTCTCGACAAGGACGAAGTGCGAAAGAGGTAGGAAATGTATGGGCCGGAAAAAGAGAGCCGACAAATAGTTTTGGATATTTTTTATGGGCACGCACAGTAGGCCTCAAAAGACGCTGTGTGTTTAAGTTCACGCAAATAAAAAAGTCAAACGGTCAGCAAGTCAATATGTTCTGGGTGAAGAATGATCGACTATATAGTACCCTATTAAAATGGGAAAAGTTAAAGAAGCAGGGAATACTTTTGTTGTTAAAAATGTGAAGGGCCTTCTGCTGTATAACTTTTGTTAAAAGACTTCCAGGAATGTCATCTTATAAACTTTAAATAATTTCTCCTAATTCTAAAATAATGAAATTCTTGGCTTATTCCTTTAGCCTAAAAAAAGGTATAATTTAATTTCATTCTGCCTCAAATACCCTCTGAGACAGCCGGGCATCTCGGAGTCCCTTTTTTAACAGCTCCTTGCGAACGTGAGAGAGAGCGGATGACCAGTAGTCGAAGTGGACCAATGCCTTTTGGACTAATTAACATGTGTAGACCCAGGATGCTGGCCAACGGGCCGACTCGCGGCATCCTGAGATACAAAACGTATCGAATGTTCGTCTTTTTTTATTATTTACGTGGAAATCGAGCCAGTTTACAGGGCCAAAAGGCATCGTAAAAAAGATGGCAAGGAGCGCGAAATCCTTCAGATTGCCTCAACCGAAGAGAACCTAAACCCTAGGTGGCTATCATTGATGGAAGCGTTAAACGCTTGGCAGGACTCAGTTCCACAGTTCCTCTGACTCTCCCTCTCCCGCGTTTTTCTCCTGTTCTTACCTGTTTGTAATTTTTGACTTTTTACGACTTTGTAACAATTTTTTATGATTTTTGTTCATAACAAAGAGAGAGATGTGCATATAAAAAATATATGCGTACATTGTGCATTGGTCAGGTAGTTGGGCTAGTTTTTTATATATCTTATGGAAGACGAGATTCTTTTGCCCTCACCTTGAAAATTTGACTTTTTCATTATAATTCGTTTGTCTTGGCAGTTCTTGGGAACATAAAAAAACATTTGTTTTTAATATGCATAAAAAAAGGAGATTCAGAGAAGTAGAGCTGAGTGGTATTTCATAAAATGGATTGCATGGGAGAAATAGGTTCGGAAAATATTTTCTTATCTAGTTCTATTAATTAAATAAAAAATACTTAAATATAAATACTTTTTAAGATTTTTTTTTAGTTTATTTAAGAACTATTTATTTTATTTTTTCAATTCTTCAATCTTTGTCACCATAAATGTCACTTCTTCTTCTCCTTAAACAAACAAAAAATAATACAAACAAGAAAGGAAGCTAACTTCGGCACGCCGAAGTTTGTATACCCTTGCAGATATTATTTTATTGCATTTTATCTATACTTATTATGTTGAGAGTTTGACAGTTACAGTTTTACATTCCCAGTTTTACATTTTCCCTATACCTACCGATCGGTTTATATGGCAGCTATATGATATAGTTGTCCGATTTTCATAAAATTTATACAAAAATTCTGAACTTATAAAATAAGCTTATATCTCAGAGTAGATAAAAAAAGTTTGAAAAACAACGAAGTTATAATTTTTTTTCTATTAATTTCCTGATCGTTCCTATGGCAGCTATATGATATAGTCGTCCGATTTTCATAAAATTTTTACCAAAATTCAAAAATAATATAAAATGGTCATATGTAAAAAATAGTGCACATATGTTGAAAAACAGCTAAGTTACAATTTTTTTTCTAAAAATTTATCGAACATTTGTATGGCAGCTATATGATATAGTCGTCCGATCCGGCCCGTTCCGACATATATAGCAGTGAGAGCATATAGAAGACTATATGCGAAGTTTCATTCAGATAGCTTTAAAACTGAGGGACTAGTTTGCGTAGAAACAGACAGACGGACAGACGGACAGACGGACAGACGGACAGACGGACAGATGGACAGACGGACAGACGGACAGACGGACAGACGGACATGGCTAGATCGACTCGGCTGTTTATGCTGATCAAGAATATATATACTTTATAGGGTCGGAAACGTCTCCTTCACTGCGTTGCAAACTTCTGACTGAAATTATAATACCCTGCAAGGCACATTGGGCCAGCGAGCCGATAGTTCGACGAAAATTAAAGTTCTAAAGCTAGGTTCTTCAAATTTGGTACATATATTAGTGTCGATTCACATAAAAACATTTATAAGTTTCAGACCGATCAGACCACGCCTTCCCTAGCCGCCCATATATGATAGGTTTCCTCTTATTGATATTTGTACGGTAATAAATAAATTAAATTCAACAAATGTTTTAAATTAATTTTTTTAACACTTAACCTTAATATTAATAAGTAAAAAATGACAATGCATTCAAAATGAATATAAAAAAGTATTTTTCATTTTAAAATGTTCCTAACAGTCGTCTTCTACGTCAAGTTCTATTGAAAACGGATTTTCAGAGTCAGAATCTAAATCACTATCACTATTGCTCCGTGCTTAAGTCGAGTTCTATCAGTTCATCATAAATCCAACTCGTTACGGCAGATGCTCTAAGATTGTTTTCTATATAGACATCAAACAGTTGCGCATAGGTGATCTCAAACACAGCTACAATATGTCGGATTTATATATATAGGTGCAAAAAGATGCAAAAAAGCTTAATAAAATTAGTTTATATACGCTTTGCACTTTAATGACACATATTTACTTTTTGGCACAAGTTGGCACAAAATTTGTTATAGTCTAAAACAGATGGGTTACCAGGTTAGCTTTTTAATACTTTTGGACAACACAAATAAACGCACACAAAGAACACATTAACAAACATGAACAAAATCTTTTTTAATACGAATATTCTACATACCTTTCCCTTTCTTTTCCATAATTTTAGTGAAAATTGCTTAAAGCACAACAATTTTGTCGCGCTCGCAAGTAAACAAAATCTTTCTCGCGTTTTTGAGTTTCGTACGCACGCAATCAAAGAGTTGACTTTGAAGGGACGCCAAAATTTCCGGGATGCATCAAAACAATTAAAATCTTTTGATTCAATTTAGTCAAAGTATATACATTTCAAATTTTATTATTAAAATAGGTTTACTTTCTATGAAAAATTTGAATTTTCGTCGATATATCGGTTCGCTGGCCCAATGTGCAAGGGTATAAAAACAAATCATAAAAGCAATGAAAATCAACACACAAGAAAAGAAAAGAAAATCTGCCAAAGACGAAAAGAAACAAAAGCAAAAGAAGGCGCAACGAAAATACAGCCAAGTGGGTGGCAAAAACAAAAAAGGAAAGACTCCCAGTTTCAAGGCAGGAGCAGGAATGGGGAGGGGAAGGCTCCGCACATGTGTGCATACATGAATGGCAAATAAAATGCGAAAGGAGCTACAGAGGAAGAGAGAAAGAGAGACAGAGAGTAGGAGAGGGGGCCAGAACAAAGAGCGAAATCAGAAGACGACAATGCTGCAGAAACAGGAGGGGGTGGTGAGGCGAAGGGGCTCCCTATTCTGCTGCAGTCGACGTCGACGCAGCTTTAAAATATTTTTACATAGCTCACACACCAACACACACTAATAGGTGCCCATTTTTGACTCGCCAATCATAAAATAATATGCATACACACACATCCCCAAGCGTATAAAAAACACATTGCCATTTGAAATCCAAATTTAAATTTTAAGCCACACCCCAAACAAGCGCACGCATCCCACACACACACACACACACTCTCTCGGACACAACAATGGAGCCCACGAACGAAACGAGCGAACCACAAGCGAGTGCCCCCCAACCGCTCACTCACACACACACTCTACAATTTTAAAGCGCATAAAATGTGTGCGTGTGTTGGGGTCTACAATCACTCAAATTGAGAGAGACTCACACTCCACTCCAATTGGTGTGTGTGTGTGGAACCCATTTCTAACAAGCCTTCAAATGCGAACGCGAGAGCGAGTGAGAGCCGAGCCCCGCTCACTGCCACGGCATCCATATTCCACTCCAACTGCAGTCGCCGCGCAGAAGTGGAACCAGTTGAACGTGTGGAGCGCAAGCGAACGGTTAAGTCGCGTTTTTTATCACGTATACGCAGGCGGTTTTTTAGTTGGATATTCCCCTCAACACAAAAAAAAAAGGGAAAAAGACTGTAAAACCAAGGGAAAACCACCCCTAAGACTCTTTTAGGGTGGCGAACGCATAACACAACTCAAAAACCAACTCAAAAGCCGGCTCAGGGAGTGAGGGGCAGGGACTGAGAGAGAGCACAAGCGAGCGAGACAGCAAAAGAGAGTGCCCAGAGCGAAAGAGAGAGCAATCATCACCATATCATTCAGCGGACAGAAATTCAGGCCTACAGCGATTATCCGTTAGTTCCGATTCCGTTCCCAAAAAGAGAGCTATCCTGACCGCTGCGACCACTTCTCTGTTGTCAGTTTCACACGAGACACGAACGCGTCCACAACAAAGCGGCGCTTCCCAAATAAAATTCTAATCAAATACAAAAACTAAACTAAAACTAAACCTGTAGAGATATATATTTAAGAACCCCTAAGAAACCTCCAAGAACCTAAGAACTTAAAAGTGCTAAAGTGATTCCAAGTAGTGCTCAAGTATCCAGAACATATCGCACACATAAAACAATTACTATTGAGTTGTGAAAATGGTTATGTCGGAGCTACGTTGGCACACCGCTAGTCCCGAGGATAATAACAACTCCTTGAAGCGCGATCTGCTCAAATCAACGCCCACAAGCGCCCGCGAGGCCGCCGTTCACATTATGCAGAATCGATGTAAGTTTTATTTAATGATTTTACAAACCTTATAGGTGATAAAGATGGTCCTTCATCTAAATCTATTTTAAATAGGTTGATTAGAAAAACAAAAGAACCATTTATTAGAGCCTTTCTTTGTGGTATTTTAGGTTTATTTGGGTTCAAATGGGCCATTCTGATTTTTTAATTTATAAACTATTTTATATTCTTAAAGGTTTTAAAACTTGTGCTCTATAAATTTAAAAATATATAAACTCAACTTGTTCCTTGATGTTCTTACAACACAATCGTTTTATTAAAACGTATTTATCAACCAAAATAAATTGATAACTTATATTAAATTGTCAATATTATATTTCCTGTAATGGCAATTCTGCCAAGAAAATATGGATATTTTTGATTATAAACAAATGACTCTAATATTTTATGTCCTAAAATGAACTTAAATGATAATAATGAATGTTCTTATAGCTTGAATATATATTATAACTAACTTATCAATATCTGAACACTAGAAAAAAAACCCAAAAATATTATCTCGCAGTAAATTTCGAAGATTTTTCGAGTACATTTTTTAAAATTAGAAAATTCATGTTTTAATCTCAACTAAATCCAGTAAAGATTTATAAATCATTGACCATCTGATGACGGGATACAATAAGATTCCAAGTTCCCTTTCTAATAAGAAAATTCCAAGTGAAGAGCTCATAAAATTTCCCCTTGAGCCAGGAAAACCTGGCTAATAAGCACCCAATTCCGTTTTCCCCAAGACCGCCTTTCACCATTGAATTACTAAGCCAGACCTCGTGAAAATTACCATGACTGGGAGTCAGGTGCTTGGCGCGGCGCCGAAAACTAAACACTTCGATACCAAGAACAAAGAAAATGCAATCTGCTTATTGAAAATACCCCTGCACAGGTGTCTCTGTCATAAATATTAACTCCCGGCGACCCACTTAAAGTCCCGTCTCAAGACCCAACCGGTGCCAGGCTACAGAACTAACATATACACACACTGCACACTACAAACTAACAAATGGGTATTACAAATGCCGGACCATAAAAATATTTATTAAAGACGCATTTCTTGCACAACCCAGCCAATACTAATATGACCATGTAAATGGGTGCGAGGAGTACTGGGCTCGGAGCACTGAGGACTGGTGGCGATGGGCACTCAATGGAACCGCTTGGCCATTGTAAACAATACATTGAATTTGTTGCCTTATCAATTATCGTTGCGGGGGCAATAAAAAGCGCATTTCGATGACAAATATTGTAAAAAAAATGTCCATCGTCGCACATTTGGAATACGGAATATGCGTAATAATTCCAATGAGCCACAGCTCTCAAGTGTTGTTACCACAAGTGGTACGTACTTTGGAGCGGGTTATGATGATTGATTATGTAAAACAAAAAAAAATAGACTCTGACGAATCTGGAGTGAGTAATTAAGGTAGTTTGCCGCTGGCTTAACAAGAGCACTCGCCAGATAAGCAGGTGACGAAGGAACATGTTAATTAAATATAGGAAAGACGATAAAAGCGGTGATTTTTGACGCAATATACAAATTTCTAGAGAGGGGCTATTCGTACTCCTGCACTCTTCATTGGTTCTTCTCTGGTTCTCGAGCACGTGACGCAAGTAATTCCCCTAATCTAGAAACTAATAGAGCGATAGCTAATATATGTCTCATGATATTCATATAAGAGTTTACCTTGTACACTGCGATTTGCTTATCGCTTATCGCCCCGCTTATCGCTCGAAACCAAAATCGAAGTAACATTTTGCACACCTGCACAATACCGTTAAGATTCCAAGAAGTCCACCTCTAGAAGCACTCCAAGTGCAGAGTAAACAAGTTTCGTCATATTTTCGGTGATTTTAATAAATTAACCGAAGGCCCTAACGAAACGAAACTGGTTCGCCTGGCAATCAGTTTTAAATTAATATATTTGAGCGATTAGAGACGGGCCAATTGACGACAATGTCCAAACTTGAATAATAACATTATTTTTAGTCATTGTCCACATGAGCTCATGCCCATTCCCCCCTTATCACCTATCGGTGCTATATAAAAGCCGATCAGGAAAGAGGGCGTGTGTCCGCTGTTGGCCCAACACTTTTTATGGCTAATTCTTGGAAAGCCAATGAAGAATCGATTAAGATTTACAATTGGCAAGGCGGAAACTGATAGAAAATGCAGTGAATATTCGTACATTGTTTTGTAATGTACTTTCGGGGTGATTAACAAAAAGTCAACAGTGCTTGAATGAGGGGGGTTTAAAAATGAGTTAAAACGTCGAATTCAGTCTAAGGTATTAGCTTTTGTTTGCAGAGGTCTTCGGTTGCTAGTTGCATATTTAATAAGCATTTATTTTAATGCCATAACTGAGGTAATCAAGGAAATTTATTTGCATTTATTAAACTTGAATTGAGTGGCCTTAACAATTGAATTAAAGAATTAAAACGAACTTTTAAAGTGTGGAAAGGAATAAAATATATTTACTTTTAGTAAATAACATATGGTTTTTAGAGATATATTAGCTTAAATATTCTACATTGCATTTTATAAAATATATATTAAGGATTCATCTTGCACTCTCTCTCATCTCCTGAGCCCAAAAATCAGCCTCTCCTTAATTGCTCTTCAGCTCTCTCTCTCGAATTCCCCTAATCAAGCTTTTATTTCGCCGCACTCGAAGCTTTCTCTCCTCTTTCTCTCTTTGTGATTTTGCTAGTTTTGTTTTGCTACGAATATACAGGCAGAGACAAAGGCCAAAGAGCACGCACTCGGCTTTCCTTTGGCTCTCCATCATTTTCCTTTATTTTATTTCATTTATTTATGTTTTTTTTCGGCTACTTTTCTTTTGGGGGGCTCTCGCCTCTCCTCTCCTCTGTGGCAGTCGCAAAAATCGAGGGGGTCAAGAGTTCAAGACACGCAGCTTCCGCCGCCGCCGCCACCGACAACGACTCAATCGATAGTCAGTCTCGGTCTGCGCACGTGATGACCGCCGTCTATAGGATATAGCTTGTATATGTGTATATATTTGTACAGAAATATATATTTGTGCGCTGTATTAGCCACCCCCGGCCAGGCAACTGTCGAGGTCATTGACTAATTGTGTGCGCCACACAGCCAAAATGTATCTGGCCAAATTCCACATGCCCTCGACCCTCATAAACCGCCACCCCCGCTGAGCGATTCTCTAAAATTTTATTTATTTCCCCGACGCGTTTTTGGGGGTGGCCACTATAGCCAGCCTGTGGTTTTCGCAAATTTTCTCGGCCAAAAACTGTAAAATTCTCGAAAAATGAACCCCATTAGACCGTAGATTCAAATGCTGCTCACTTTTGGTCGCGAGGGTGTTGAATTTTCGAAAAACTCTCCTTTCTCGTTATATAATTTATGTGGCATTTTAACGCCGGGTTTTTGTAAAATTTTCATTTACCTAAGAGTGAAGTTCCTGGGTTATAGATTCAGGCAGTATCCGCACATATGCCGCAACCACTTGAGCCCTGGCAGCAGCAGCAGTTGTTGTTGCTTAATTAGCGGCCAAAAGGCGTGGCAGAAGCGTGCCAGAAGTGAGGGAAGATTGCGACGAAAAGAGGAAAAGAAACTCATGCCACATATCAAAACTGTTTCATTGGGATAAGGATCTTAGGTAGCGATAGGGTAGGGGTATCAGGATGAGATACCATTGCTTGTATCTTGTAGATTGAAATAGGAGTATCTCATGGGTTAATCTAGTTAAGAAATGAATTGCACATATAACCTTTAAAAATACTAATAATATTAGGATTTCAGACCTTTCAAATTTAAAATAATTTGTTACCAAAATAATTAAAAGATATTTAAAATATATTTTTTAATACATAACATTTCTGAAATAAATATCTAAAAAAGCGAAATTTAACCTTCTATGCAATTCAAGTCCACTTGCCTCGTAAATTAGCCACCAAGACCAACACCAAAGAAAGCAAAAAACACTATTTCTCCATGACATAAAAATGCAGCAAATGCACAAATGTTGTCTGCGGCTCTCAAACTCTTCCAAAATTCAAATTGAAAGCGGACCAGGTGTTCCTTGAACTTCGTATCCGTATATCCCTCGACGATGTCCATAAAAATATCCTTTTATAGGCAACGGTGTCGATGTCTGGGACCTGGGACTGACGACTGGCCATTTGGTCAGTTTTTGGCTTAAAATGTATATCAATATCGATTTCGTGTACCCGTAAACCTGGGCTCCCTGGAAATGTTTGTGTGTTTCTCCGTTTTATGCCCGCGACGTGTGTTATTTTACTTTTAGCTTTAAGTGGTCTCAATTTACCCCGGTCTAAAAATTCTCATCTATTTTCTATTTTCCTTCCAGATATCAGTCGCCTGTCGCGCTCCCCGTCGCCACTGCAATCGAATGGTAAGTGTTTTGAATTTCTTTTCCATGCTCGAAGCATCAGCTGTTGTCCGAAAACGATTTACGAGATTTGTCCACTTCATATGGTTGAGAATACAGATACATATTTCTGGTTTTGGAACATCTGCCTGTTTTTGGGGGCAGCGGATTTCATCTCGGTTTCACTAAATCACTCGCATGTTTTTCGGTTCAACAAAAAGACAATAAACCGGAGGGAGTATCGACTTCAACCCTTGCCTGCGACAGCCACGCGCTGGCCCCTGAGCTAGGGAATATATATGTTTGTTCTCCATATATCTGGGTTAGAGTTAAAGTTAGGGGTAGGGTTGATGTGTGTATTTCCTATAGGGAGTCACAGGCTCACCCCTCTCGCACGGCGGCCTGTCAAAACTTTTGTCAACCGAGATTTAGGGGAAGGCCCAAGCAGTTTCACAGATAAATAGGGATGTCTTTAAGTTGATTTTGATGTCTTATTAAATGGGTGTTTTCGACTTAACAGCTCCTTAAGTAGTTTCTGAGGTGACAATTGGCTGTGCTCGCTCCCTAATTGTTCTCTGGAAATGGAAGTTCTTTCGGGTGTGTTATAAATTTTTGATGGATTCATAAACCAATGTTCGATTATTATTCATAACTCGTTTCTCCAAAGGAGGCTGCGTTCAATTTGCAATTCACACTTTACGAATTTCATGGACTTCGTTAGTCACGGTCCGAACAAAAAGCCAAACCGTCCAAACTTCAACCTTTTCTGGCTCCCTTTTTTTTATTATTATTATTATTATTTTTTTTTGTACCACATTATTGACAGCATTTCGCTTGATTTGAATTCGAATATCTGTGAGGGAGGGAGGCTGTCCTCTCCGGTCGTGTGTGCGCTTGTGTGGGACACAGTTGCTGTGATTTCTTTCACGAACATGAACATATATATTTACATATATTTTATGCAAAAATTATTCCGTTATGCCGGCCGTATGTGGGAGCGCTTTTTGGGGTAGCTCGATGTGCAGTCAAACTGACCATTTGGCTTTTTTTTTATTGGTTGTGCTAAATGGAACAGGAGCGGCGATCAAAAGGGGTATTCTTTTGATAAAGGATACAAATTTAAGGTTTTGGTATTTTTCTATATATTTTTACAATTTCTATTAATATTTTTATAGTCTTAACAAAGTAAAACTTACAACAGAATCCTAAAATTTCTTAAATAAAATACAGTAATTTCCTAGGTTTATTATTTCTACTAAATTCCCTTCACAAGAAATAACCAACTTGGGTAAAATATCTAATAGCTAGACTCAAAATTAATACATTTTAACACAAATATAAATTTAAAAAATAAACCCCAATAGAATCTCCAATTTACCTTAGAACCCATTGAGGAAAGAAACCCTCTTCTATCTTCTAGAGATCCTCCACTGTCCAATGGCCATTCACACAACACATACAAATCGAATTTGCACATCATCTGAATACCAAATGGACGCACGTAGCCCGTCCGAGAAGGAGCGAAAAAATCGCTCCTGTCCCGGGTTCGGGCCGCATATGTAAAAAGGATGACCATGTGGTCGGTCCATCCAGCCAGGCAGCCATCCAGCCGATGGGTCGTCCACTTGGGCGAATAAGTCATCAAATTCACGTAGCTGGCGAGCATCAGGAGGCGAGCACAAGTCATAAAGTAGCCAAGGCAAACATATGCAAAAATTGCCTGCAGTGGACAGGATGTGGAAATTGGTTGGAGGAATCCAACTGGGAATGGGTCTGAGAATGGGTTCTGGAGAGTGGGATTCAGACCAGGGGCCACTTCAAAGGGTTTAACTCCTTTGATTGCCATTTATGAGGGAGGAAGTTGGTGCTATCCCCTAGTCTTGGCTTAGAAAATGAACTTGTGCCTTGAGTATTTAAATATTATTGCAAATCAATTGGCCCGAGCGCCCCTTTCTCTGTATGCTGTATAAATAAAATGCATACAAATAGCAAATTTATACAAATCGCCTTGGCCAAGGCATTTGAAATGCTAAAATGCCACTTAAAAGCGTCAGCCAAAATGAAAAGAAAACACGAGAATTCCATTTGATGTCAAGGTGGAACTATGTAAACTATGGGGTGAAAAGAGCCTGCGACTGGGTTTTCGTTTTTCTCTCTTTATTTTTTTCGCATAATATAAGACCCACTGCGCTGGGTGGTCGTGGTCACGTGAAAGGCTTTCACTCGAAACCTGAAACCCAACGGACTATGAAATTGAACAAAAATTATACAAAACGCGCTCGTGTGGCCTATGCTAAATTTATGCAAAAGGACACTAGCATTGGTCCCCGAAGAGTGACTCATTTTTGCATAGTTTGAATGGATAGAAAAAATACATTTTCCATGGGTTTTGGGTCAGTTGGTTACGCCTCCTTTCTAGGCCTGATTGGAAAAAGAGTTGTGAAGGGGTAAATATTTTGGGGAAATATTAAGAGAAGGTTTTGATTAATGGCTGAATGAAGTTGTGACAAATGTTTAGGAAATATTTTTGATATATTGAACCCTTTAACTCTATTTTCCCATTTTCCTAACCCTTGAATTCCCTATTTTCTCAATTTTCTTCCAGCTTCCGATTGCGATGACAATAACTCCAGTGTGGGCACCTCCAGCGATCGCTGCCGATCTCCGCTGAGTCCTGCCTTGTCCCTGACCCACCAGCAGGCCAAGCGCCAGCTGCTGATGCAGCCCCATCCGGCCCACCATCATCACCACCATACAGCGCACCATCTGAACCACCTGAATCACCATCAGTACAAGCAGGAGGAGGACTATGAGGATGCCAATGGCGGTGCCCTGAACCTGACCAGCGACAATAGCCGTCACAGCACTCAGTCACCGGCGAATTCGGTGAAATCGGCAAATGCCTCCTCACCAGTGCCGGCGGTTATATCAGTGCCCTCGCCAGTGGCGCCCATGATCTCGCCAGTTCTGCCACCGTCCACAGTAGGGGGAGGAGCAGAAAGAGTTGTTGGTATGGGAGGTGGCGTCACTCCACCCACTTCAATGGCAGCCGCAGCAGCAGCTGCCGCCGCTGCCGTGGCCACGTCAATGGCTTCTGGTGGCGGAATCTCCCCACTTCTAGCCCTACCGGGCATGTCCTCGCCACAGGCACAACTGGCGGCCGCTGGTCTCGGTCTCAACAATCCCCTGCTGACGGGCTCCCTGTCGCCTCAGGACTTTGCCCAGTTCCAGCAGTTGCTGCAGCAGCGCCAGCTGGCCCTGACCCAGCAGTTCAACAGCTATATGGAGCTGCTGAGGAGTGGATCGCTGGGTTTGGCCCAGGACGATCCGGCACTGACCGCTCAGGTGGCCGCCGCCCAGTTCCTAATGCAGAGCCAGCTGCAGGCCTTGAGTCAGGCCTCGCAGCAGTTGCAGGCTCTGCAGAAGCAGCAGCAGCGCCAGCAGGAGGAGCCGCTGCAGCTAAACCATCACCACAAGATGGGACAGCAGCAGCAACAGCAGCTCCAGCAACCCCGAAGCTCCACGCCGCACTCGGCGGTGCGCAGTCCCATTGCTATCCGCAGTCCCGCCAGCTCGCCCCACCAGATGGGACACCATCATCCCCTCCAGATTACGCCGCCCAGCTCGGCAGCCAGCCTCAAGTTGAGTGGCATGCTGACACCCAGTACTCCTACCAGTGGCACCCAAATGCAAAACACACCGAGTACTCCGCAGCCCAAGACTGTTGCCAGTGCAGCGGCTGCCCGGGCGGCGGGTGAACCCTCGCCAGAGGAGACCACTGACCTCGAGGAGCTGGAGCAGTTTGCCAAGACCTTCAAGCAGCGCAGGATCAAGCTGGGCTTCACCCAGGGCGATGTGGGTCTGGCCATGGGCAAACTCTATGGCAATGACTTCTCACAGACCACCATTTCACGCTTCGAGGCCCTCAATCTGAGCTTCAAGAACATGTGCAAGCTGAAGCCGCTGCTCCAGAAGTGGCTGGACGATGCCGATCGCACCATCCAGGCCACCGGCGGTGTCTTCGATCCTGCTGCTCTCCAGGCCACCGTGAGTACGCCCGAGATTATTGGTCGTCGGCGCAAGAAGCGCACTTCGATTGAGACCACCATTCGCGGTGCCCTCGAGAAGGCGTTCATGGCCAACCAGAAGCCCACCTCCGAGGAGATCAGTCAGCTGGCGGATCGTTTGGGTATGGAGAAGGAAGTGGTGCGTGTGTGGTTCTGCAATCGCCGCCAGAAGGAGAAGCGCATCAATCCCTCCCTGGACAGTCCGACGGGCGTTGATGATGAGGAGTCGCCCTACATGATGCACTAAGAGTGAAGTGGAGGTCACCACATTTTAGGGACAAAGACAGTGCAATGTGCGGAGAAGGAATCAGAGGAATGCTAAGCAACACTATGTGCAGGTAAATATAATTTTAAATATTTTACGGGATTATTTTTGCACTTTTTAAATAGTTACAAGTTCTTTTACCTTTTTGGGATATATTTTATTGATTTTCCTTTAGTTTTATTTATTTGAATGAGATCTTAATATTATATTTAAGTAAATATATATATTTTTTATAGAAATCTTACTTATCCCTTCATTCCTTTGCTTATTTCCTTGCAGGTTCAAAGACGCAAACACATCAAATACTAGCTTAATTCTGTCCTAAAGTTAGGTATCAATTCCTAAACAAAAGACAATTCACACACAACAATTGGGGTTTGCTTATGTTAACTATTAATGATATTTATTGTAACGTAATTGTAATATAAACTTTACCCAAAATATAGCTAATCAAGTCAACATCTATCTAGGGTTCACCTGATCACCTATATTTTAGAAATCCTTTAAGGAAATGGTGTTTCTATAGCCTTTGACAGGCTTATAAATTCCATTTCCTTGCAGATCCGTACTATGTGGCGTATGTGTATTATTAATATTTAAGTACAGTCTCTGCACATTTTTCAAAGTCAAAACATAATGAATTCCTAGCGAATAATTAAACATTTTCCACAGAAAATAAAAGAAAGTAGATTAGTATCTAAGCATATTTATTTTTCGCGTGAATACTGTGATAATCAATTTGAATGATTTTAATTTTAATTAAAGAAAAACAAAAAAAAGAAAGAAAAATAAGAACCTAGTTGTATGTTTGTATGTTATGGGCAAGTAAACTAACAAAAAAAGTAAAGGAAAAACATAATTTAAACTTAATTCAGCGTATTTATGTGTAAAAACAAATTGAATTTATGAAAAATGAAACCCAAAAACCATTTATATAATTGTAAAATGTGAAAACCACTAGAATTTTTAAATGTATAACTACAAAGAGAAGGCAAGTGAGGCCAACAAAAAAACACAATGAAATAAAAATAATTATCATACAAAATAATTGCAAATATTTTTCATTTTGGGAAGGGGGTCTAAATATCTCAAAGATATCAATCACGAGAGGCAAAAGGAATTTTGTGTTTCACTGCGGCGCATTTAAAAGGGAAACAGAGAGAATCGCGAGCGTCTGAGAGTCCAAGTAAAATTTTAATAAATAACAACATGCAAAACTGAAATTAATTCATGGAATTCAAGTGAGCGCGGAAGCGCGTGCAGAGCTAATAAGAACCAGACACCCGCAGAACGACACAACTGGACCGATTCGATCTCATGACCAAGATATCAACATGCAGATGAGGCCAGCGATCATGAAACCGCGCTTCCAGGGGCCTTTTAGGGGCCGAACCTGGGTCACTTCTACTACATAGAGAGAGTGCTATCAATGGGAAGCCGCCCGAACAAAATGAATTCACTGCGATTTCGTAGGGGCGGTCGGGGCAAAGTCGTTGGCTGTCATTGTCGCTCCTGCTTTGAGCAATTAAAAATTGTTCACTATCGCAGTGAGTTGGCACAGGGGAAATTCGCTAAAAATAAAGTATAAAGAGGTAAGAACTTTGTATTTATTACTTAGAGATAACAAGAAGTTAAAACATTTGAAAGAGTGCTAAGAAGTCTAGAGTGTTTGGTGGATGGATATTTAAAAACAAAATTAATAGAACTTCTATAAGAATTAAAAAAATATTATGTAGAGGTGTTTTAGTAAAACTACAAGTTCGAACCAATATAAAATATATTTTTAACTAACAAAATATAGTTATTACAGTATTTTCTTCGGCTAAATGAGCGAAATAACTACCAAAAATCTTAAAGAAAATCCTAAAAAATTTATTTTTTTTTTTAGAAACATGAAACGGGTTTCCTAAACTAAACGACATTTTTTAAATTTAAAAATCATCACTAAGAAGTGACAAAAATACTATAAGCTAATGAAAACATATCTTATATTTATTTTAAATAATTTGTTAAGATAAAATAAATAAATATTTAAAAAAAAAACTTGAAAACCTTGTTAGATAATATAAAAAAACTTCACTAGGAATTGAAAAAATTCCTCTACTTTATTTTATAAGGCATCTAAAACTCACTATATTTCCCTCCCAGTGCATGGCGAAAATTAATTTCCTACAAATTCTTCACAGACCAGGGCCCACTGTATTCATTAGCAGGGCAGAGAGGCTCGACACATACGCAAATGATGTTGAAAGCAGATGCAGATGCCCTCCCATCGACCTCCCTGGTACTCGAAACGGTGCCTCCTCCATGCCGCAGACACTTGTTTGCATGGAAAGCGCATAATCATCGCGTGTCATGTGGAAATTTATACTATTTATGGTCTGTTTGTTTGTAGTCAGATGGAATCAAATGGGGAGGGAATGGGAATGGGTTAGAGCTCTGGGGCTTTGGTGTTGGCGCTGGCGTTGGCTGGGCATGAGATGTTAGCCCTCTGGGCAACACTTGAGCCGAAAGCCTGGGCTTTTGTCTTCTGCGCTTTTAATTTTAATAAATTCATGGAAAATTGCCAGTAATTACGAGACAAGCGGCGACGATTTCACAGGAATTCTGCAGCTCCACCCCACCAGGGAAATCCATGCCCATTCCCATTCCCGTTGCCATTTCCACTTCCACTTCCTTCCACGTGAAAGGGTAAAATTTGCATATGAGAAAATTGGAGCTCGTAAACCCCATTAGAGCGTACAGCAAACATTGTAGATGGATTGCGATAAATCTTTTTGGCCCCTGCGGGCAAGTGCGAAGCAGAGCCTCCTCGAGTCTCTGAGATCGAGACCCCCAATTGGCATTTCCCAGGCGACTTTCTAAGCTGGAATATTCATCAAGACGGGGGCCAAAGTTCTACGTGCTTAAAAAAAACCCAACTGAATTATACAAATTAAAGCACATTTAATTACTGAAGATGGTGCCAGGGAATTATAGCTTTAAGGTGACGGGTCGTCTAGGAAGGCACTCCTTCTTTTCTTCTCCTCTCCTCTTATATTTTCCATTTAAATCACCGATATGACGAGCTTAACACCTGAAAGAAAATCTCCTTGTCATGCAGTGGCATCAAAGACATCAAAAACAAACCTGAATGAGGCATAAATTTTAACCGACTCTCCTCCAACTTTCTAGTAAAAAGTAAAGAGAAAAATTTGCAATGCATTGCATTTTAGTTGGAATTGCTTAATTTATCAGTTCAGCACACAGTTGGCATTTCCCGCCCCGGAAAATCGAGTAGGGGGGAAAAGGCAGGAGGCCGGCGAAGCACGGAGCTTATGAATATGCATCGAGGAACTTGCCTCTGCCACATACTTTTAGTTAGACATTTTATTTCATTGCTGCACATATAGATTTATACTGTGTTTAACTTTTTTTTTTTACTTACAAAGAAGGCCTTCGGTCTAGTATTGGCTACTGGGAATTAATGGGGGAAGAGGTGGGGGAATGCCACTGAACGAGTTAACAATTACTCGGTATTATGATTCACTTGAAGCCTCGATATATGCAGAAAGTCACTTGTCGATGGGGGAAAATAAATTTACAGAACAACTAAAAGTAATATGATTTTGAATATATGAATTTTAGCATTGAAAAAACCCATAAATAAATTCATTTTTGGGAATTCCCAAGTGCAATCCCTGCTGCTATGTTATTTCTACCCTTACAAATAGCTTTTTAAATTAAAATATTCATACTTAGACCTTAATTAAATCAAATGATTGCCACAACTTAATTAACATAAGCCTTTAATGTAAATTATGCAAACTCATTTGCCAATGCACTCCAAAATCCTTTCCGTTCGGCTTCAGCAACCTTACAGTCTGAGTCATAACCACATGGCAACTACCATCTCACCCCCCGATCCAATCAATAGCTAACCCATTATTTACCAATACTGACCTTAAAATCATACAAAGAACTTGGAATTATTGCATTTGCGTGTACCTAATGAATGCAAGCGCGCAGACCACAAAGCACCAAGAAAAATACCAATCGAATGCCAAAACTCTGGTGTGCGCGCAGGTGTTCTCTATGAAAATTATGCAACTTTAATTTGCCTTCGACAAACAATATGAAAAATGTGAAACAAAGAAGCCTAATTAGCATTCGGAAAATGCAAAAAGGGACGGCGGAACTGCAGGCAATTTGTAAATTATATGAAAAGGTCGAGAGCATGCAAGTTAACCGCCACTTCCCGTTCCTGGCAACCCTCCTCCTTGATGGTCATTAATTAAGAATTAGTTTTGTAAATACTTGGCGCAATTCGGTCTTAGCCTTCTTGCTCTTATGGCTTTTGAAATTAAATTGTTTTATAACGAAGTGTCTGGTGGCTTGCGAAGCGCAAAAGTGGCGCCGACTTCCAGCCCTCTCGTCCAGGGGGCAAACGGTTAAAGCCAACTTCCCGGCACTTTGCATGTGATCATGCAATTGCCACAGGGGGCGGCAGAGTGGGCGGCCAAGATAATATTATTTCTGAATTTAATTTACGGGCCTCGGGCTCATTAAAGCCCTCTCTCATGGCCACAGAATGTCTCTGATGCCCGGCTTGTGATTGCCCAGGGAAATGGAGCTTCGGGATAAGGGATCTGCCTCCATTTCGACTCTCTTGGCTGGGTATGTTAATGTCGGGCTGTAGCCACAACACCTACTTCATTACAGGTTGCACAAAAATAATGCAGCATGATTTCATGGCTTCTTAAGGGGTTCTTTGAAGGTGGAACAGTGTGTCTTAGCAAGGGGAAAACTGAAGAAAAATTAAAGTGAAATATATTTTCAATAGAATTAAGTAGTTTGTGGGTCTCAGGCTCTTTGACCGAGATTTTTTTATAATTTCAGGATTAACAAATATTTTTTAAGGAGTTTAAAAGAGTTTTCTTCTTAATGATAATTATATTATAACACTTTCTAAATCTAGACTTTCATTATTCTTCAATTCATTTTAAAACCCAACTACTTAGCCCCACTGTTCCTCTACAAATCGAGTCAGTGCATTATGCCAAGAACTATCAAAATCTTATTAAATAACAATGTAAAATCTCATATCCCCTGAAGCCCATTCCGGAACGCGCTAATAGAAAACATCATCATAACGAACAGATATACATTTTATGATTGCGATAATCTACAGAGACACACGAGGAAACGAACGTTTTGGCCATGGTCAGTGGCTAGCAATGAAAGAATTATAATACATATAACTAATTAGTAAATATCATTTGCTGCCGCGCACATTAGAAATAGACACCGACCATGCAAAGACATAAAATCAGGCTAAAATCAGCAATCTGCAATCTTACAAAGATAGAAGCAGCAGCTCCACACGCAAGCCAAACGGACGTAATATTCCTTTTGTTTTATATTTCTCATTAAATGCACATTAAATCCAATGTTAATTGTATTTCCTTGTACTGCCAGCACCATGCAAATTGCCTTTTGTGGGTGTTTTGCCTGTCAACCGATGGCGATTAAGGGATTCTCACACACAGCGAACCCCTTGATTACATTTTTAGCGCGCGGAATGGGTTGGGTTTTGGTTCGTTCTCATCTCGTGTCGGCCGACATGAAGCCAATTAAGACTTTGCAACTGCACTTGCAGCTTGCGAGTGTCATAAAATTTAATTTATTTAAATTAAGACAATGGCAAAAATTTGCGTTTTTAATTGTCAAGTGCGGCCGAGGCGTTCAAAGTGAGTGTGCATTGAGCTGGGGAAGTAAAGGAAGATCTTTTGTCATTTTATTTCCTCAACTATAAATTATGGTAAGTTTTTAGTCATTGATAAATTCATAGTATTATT